CTTCACTCCCTCTTTTCTTCCTGCTTTCCCATCTTTCCTTCTCTTCTTCCTTCCTTCTCTATCTCTTTCCTTCCTTCCCTCTTTTTCTTTCTCTTCTGCTGCCTCTCTTTCCTTCCTTCTCTCTTTCCTTCGCTCCCTCTTTCTCTGCATCTTCCCCCTTCCTTCGCTTCCTTTTTTCTTCCTTCTTTTCATTTTTTCTTTCCTTCTCTCCTTCCTTCCTTCTCTAACTTTCCTTCCCCCCTTTTCTTTCCCTCCCTCTTTCTCTCTTTTCTTCCTTCTCTACCTCCTTCCTTCCTTCCTTCCTTCCTTCCTTCCTTCTCCCTTTCCTTCTCCCTTTCCTTCTTCTTTTCCTTCCCTCTTTCTTTTCTTTCTTTCTTGCTTTTCTCTCCTTCCCTCCCTTTTTCTTCCCTTTTTTTCTGTACTGTCATTTAGCTTTTCGTCATTTAGCTTTTGGGGGCTTTTTAAGTCCCTTTCTGCTGTGTTTTTCAGTGTTTTTATGAGTGAAGGACATACATTGGGTTGTTAGGTGTATTGTATCCAAATTTGGTGTCAGTTCGTCCAGTGGTTTTTGAGTTCTGTTAATACCACAAACGAACATTAGAATAGACAATTGGTTAACAAAACATGAACTGTAATTTTATTATTATTATTATTATTATTATTATTATTATTATTATTGTTGTTGTTATTGAAATAAACAATTGGTTAACAAAACATGAACTGTAATTTTATTATTGTTATTAAAATAGACAATTGGTTAACAGAACCTGAGCTGTTGTAATAGGTGAATTTTATCTGAAAAATTAACCTATTACAATAATAATAATAATAATAATAATAATAATAATAATAAACAGTATCTCACTTTTATCTCTTGAATGACTGAGAACGTTTCAAATTTACTTATTAAAATATGTTTATTTTGTATTGCATCTTTCTATAGGAGAGGATAGATTTTTTTTTCGTTGACAGGAATGGAGGGGAAAATACTGTGGGCTTATTTTTTTATATTTTCCCCCTCTTCCTCTTCCTCCCAGTCCCGTCCCCCTGGGTTCGGTGGTAATAGCAAACAGCAAAGTGGACCGAATGGAAGGCAGGAAGGTGTTTGTGAGCGGAGCCATGCAGAGCGCAACCAGGAAGACCCTCCACGCAGAGGCTACAGGTAAAGGCTTTTCCATTAGACATACAGCATATATAGTCAGACACAGAGGCAATTTCACATTCCACCTTTTCCGGCTTCGTGAGGGTATGCTCGATTCTGGCCACAGGGGGAGCTTCCGCTTGATGGAGTACTTCCTCATTCTTCTGCACGCTGCTGGAAGGTTTTATGGTGTCGTATTTAACTAATTAATTAGCCTCCCCTCATTAAGCGGTACCTAAATTTCCTACTTGACAGATGCGACTGTCTTTCGGGCTGCATAGGTCAACAGCAAGCTAGACTATTAATGGTCGGGAGCTCACTCCGACCCGGACTGGCTTCAAACTCATGACCTATTCCTCATTCTTCTGCACGCTGCTGGAAGGTTTTATGGTGTCGTATTTAACTAATTAATTAGCCTCCCCTCATTAAGCAGTACCTAAATTTCCAACTTGACAGATGCAACTGTCTTTCGGGCTGCATAGGTCAACAGCAAGCTAGACTATTAATGGTCGGGAGCTCACTCCGACCCGGGCTGGCTTCAAACTCATGACCTATTCCTCATTCTTCTGCACGCTGCTGGAAGGTTTTATGGTGTCGTATTTAACTAATTAATTAGCCTCCCCACATTAAGCTGTACCTAAATTTCCTACTTGACAGATGCAACTGTCTTTCGGGCTGCATAGGTCAACAGCAACCTAGACTATTAATGGTTGGGAGCTCATTCCGACCCAGGCTGGCTTCAAACACATGACATATTCCTCATTCTTCTGCACGCTGCTGGAAGGTTTTATGGTGTCGTATTTAACTAATTAATTAGCCTCCCCACATAAAGCGCTATCTAAATTTCCTACTGTAATGTAATACAATATAGTACTACTACTAATAATATATTATTATAATTATATATTTATATTACATGTAATATTCCTAATAATATTACAATATAATGGTATAGTACAATATAGTAATATTTAATACGGATATTTTACTATGCTAATAATATAATATATTGTGTGTTTGTGTGTGTGTGTGTGTGTGTGTGTGTGTGTGTGTGTGTGTGTGTTAGATATATCTTGTAAGCCGCTCTGAGTCCCCTTCGGGGAGGGAAAGAAAGAAGGGTAGAGAAGGAAGGAAGGAAAGAAGGAGGGAAAGAAAGAAGGGTAGAGAAGGAAGGAAGGAGAGAAGGAAGGAGAGAAAGAGGGAAAGAAAGAAGGGTAGAGAAAGAAGGAAGGAGAGAAAGAGGGAAAGAAGGGTAGAGAAGGAAGGAGAAAAGGAGGGAGAGAAAAGGAAAAGAAGGAGGGAAGGAGAGAAGGAAGGAAAGAAAGAAGGGTAGAGAAGGAAAGAAGAAAGGAGAGAAGTAGGGATTGAAAGAGAGAAGGAGAAAAAAGAAGAAAAGGGTAGAGAAAGAAGGAAGAAGAGAAGAAGGGAGTGAAAGAGAGAAGGAGAAAAAGGAAGGAAAGAATGAAGGGTAGAGAAAGAAGGAAGGCGAAAAGAAAGGAGAGAAGGAGGGAAAGAAAGAGGGAACGAAGAAGAAAGGAAAGAAAGAAAGAAGGATAGAGAAGGAAGGAGAGAATATAATAATAATAATAACAACAACAATAGTAATAATAATAATAATAATAATAATAATAATAATAATAATAATTGATGATAATTTTATTTCTGGCCTGCCTCTCCCCACAGTTTGGGTTTCACGGCACAAGATGGTTTGAAATATTATGTATCGAGACAAACCTGTTTTCTTGGCAAATGACACATTTCCTTTTCTGTCTTCTCTGTTTCTCTTTATTTCTCTCTCGCCTCTAACTAGGTCTGTTTATCCAACCAAAGAAGGCTCCCGGGGATGATGGGCCTTCTTCTCTTTGAGTGGATTCCCCTTCCCGAATCTCTCCTGCATCCTCATTCTTGGTCCGGCAAGAAGTGATACCTTTCACATAGACACGCAGTACTTGACTCCCTGCCCTCTTCCATTCCGTCTTGGTCTGGTTCTGTTTTGATATATATAGTATATATATGTGTGTGCCTTCGTATTGTATTTCCAGGCCTTTTCCAAGCAAAGATAACCTTTTCATGTCCGAAAACGGGTATTTTATTGGCACGGTCTCGTCCATATGATGCTTTGACTACTGAATGTGTAACAAAAGATTTCCGTTCAGCATCTTGAGTTGGATATTATATTTTTTTGGATAGAGTGGCCTTGCTGGAGGTGTTTCTGGACCTCTCTATTAGAGATTATATTTTTGTGTTTAAACAACGTTGTTGTTGGGGTTTTTCATTCCATTTGTCCGGATCGGTAACTTTCTGGCGTAACAATTAACTCACAATCAAAGTTGGAAAGGTTTCATTCAAAAGCATGCAGCAGCGAACGCGACAAAGTTCCAACTGACAGTTTAGGTCATGACACCATTGTTCAGAATGGGTTTGTGGTCAGACGGTAAAGGGGTGTTCCCATCACCTTAAATGTTTTCAGACTGAAAAAGAAATCCTTCTATTCCTGATGTTTATCTAACCCAGTGGTCCCCAACCTGTGCTCCGTGGACCACTAGTGGTCTGTGGTCTCACCGTTGCAACAAGAAACTAGAGCTGATGTGGTCTATCCAATGCAATTTTCCGAATCAGCACCCCAAATACCCAAACCAAATCTAACGTTGACTACAGTGTTCATTGATTGCAGGTGAACTATACATCCTAGAACCTGCAACTCCAAAATGTCCAGGTCAATTCCCCCAAATCAAGGTGAATAATCAAGTTTTGGCGTATCAGGCCTGTGTGACAAGTTTGGTCCAGATCCATTGCTGTTTGGGTTCACAGTGCTCTAGGTGAACTACAACTCCCCCAAATCAAAGTGAATTTTCCCCAGAGACCTCTAGTATTTTTGGCTGGTCATGGGGGCTCTGTGTGCCAAGTTTGGTCCAATCCCATCTTTGGTGGAGTTCACAGTGTTCATTGATTGCAGGTGAACTATACATCCCAGAACCTGCAACTCCAAAATATCCAGGTCAATTCCCTCCAAAACCTACCAGTATTCAGATGTGGGTATATTGGGTGTGCAGGCCAAGTTTGGTCCCAATCCATATGTGTTTTTGGGTTCACAGGGCTCTCTGGATGTAAGTGAACAACAACTCCCCCAAATCAAAGTGAATTTTCCTCAGAGACCACTAGTATTTTTGGGTAGGCAGGGAGGCTCTGCGTGACAAGTTTGGTCCAATTCCATCTTCGGTGGAGTTCACAGTGCTCATTGATTGCAGGTGAACTATACATCCCGGTGGCGCCGTGGGTTAAAGCGCTGAGCTGCTGAGCTTGTTGACCGAAAGGTCACAGGTTCAATTCCGGGGAGCGGTGTGAGCTTCCGCCGTCAGCCCCAGCTTCTGCCAACCTAGCAGTTCGAAAACATGCAAATGTGAGTAGATCAATAGGTACCGCTCCGGCGGGAAGGTAGCAGTGCGGGGTGAGCTCCCGCTGTCAGCCCCAGCTTCTGCCAACCTAGCAGTTCGAAAACATGCAAATGTGAGTAGATCAATAGGTACTGCTCCGGTGGGAAGGTTTCTGAGCATGCGCAGATTGCTCCCTTAATATCAATAGCAATCATAACAGTAATGTCCCTTTAAATTTCAGTCCAGTCGCCGTGGTAGGGCATGCCTTCGGCGCTTTGAATGGCCCAATCAGAGCCTTTCATCTACTCCAAAGAGGATGCGAGATTGACACACGCTTTGTCCAACCACAGTCGACAACCCCTCCTCGGCCCACTTTGATTGGCGTTTAAAGTGATCCAATAATAGCTAAGCGAGGAGGCGGGAGATCCCCTGCGATTGGTTGGAACTTTTGCCCAATGGGAAGGCGATGCTGTGGGACAGGCATCCGCAGCGTCCAATCGGAGACGAGGACTGAGTTGAGAGGGCGGGGCGAAAAAGGAAAAGCCTTCACAACGAAGCCGGCTTTGGGAGAAGCAGCTGTTTGTAATGGCAGCGGCCTGAATTGGTTTAGGCGTGTCAAGCTGAGGGAAAAGGAGTGATACATTCGCTCCTATTTCGCTATGAAGCCTTGAGCAGTTGCGGTTTCTATGACAGGAGCGTTTTTTCCCTCGTTTCTGTGGTAACCGACGGTCGAGAGTTGCGCATGCGTAGAGGCGCGTCTTCGGCAAGAATGTGTCATCCAGTGTGCGCATGCGCCGGGATTGAATGGAGAGAGGGCGGGGCTAGTGACGTCAGCGGAAGAGAGAAATCCCTTTCTCATTGTAAAGCTGGAAGAAGGACGAAGAAGGCAAGTGAGATTCTCTCCATCTATTACTATATTTATGCTTCATAGCTTCTAATATTGTATATATTGCTATATTATGGTTATGTTATATTATGATGGTGATATAATACTAATATGTAATATAAAATAATAATATGGTAATATAATAACATAATGATATGGTAATACTAATATTAATGTTAGTATTATATATAATATTGAATAATAAATAATATTTATATTTAGTTATATAAAGTAGTTTATATTAAGTAATATTATTATTGTATAAAATATAATTTATATAATTATAGAATAAATATAATAATAATAATAAAACTATATATATTTACTAATATAATATAATAATTTGGTAATATAATAACATAATAATATGGTAATACTAATATTAATGTTAGTATTATATATAATATTGAATAATAAATAATATTTATATTTAGTTATATAAAGTAGTTTATATTAAGTAATATTATTATTGTATAAAATATAATTTATATAATTATAGAATAAATATAATAATAATAAAACTATATATATTTACTAATATAATACAATAATATGGTAATATATATATATTTACTAATATAATATAATAATTTGGTAATATAATAACATAATAATATGGTAATACTAATATTAATGTTAGTATTATATATAAAATATTGAATAATAAATAATATTTTATTTAATTATATAAAGTAATTTATATTAAGTAATATTATTGTATAAAATATAATTTATATAATTATAGAATAAATATAATAATAATAAAACTATATATATTTACTAATATAATACAATAATATGGTAATATAATAACATAATAATATGGTAATACTAATATTAATGTTAGTATTATATATAAAATATTGAATAATAAATAATATTTTATTTAATTATATAAAGTAATTTATATTAAGTAATATTATTGTATAAAATATAATTTATATAATTATAGAATAAATATAATAATAATAAAACTATATATATTTACTAATATAATACAATAATATGGTAATATAATAACATAATAATACGATAATACTATAACACTAATATAAAAATTAGTATTATATATCATATTGATTGCTGTTTTTAAATTGTTTTAAATTGTTTTTAAATTATGTTCAATTTTAGCCTGTTCTTGTAAGCCGCTCCGAGCCCCAGGTGGCATATAAGTTCAAATAATAAATAAACAAATATTAATGCTATATAGAATATTGAATAATATATAGTATTAATTTATATAATTATATATTAACTACAATAGTAATAAAACTATATATATTTACTAATATAATGTAATATGTAAATATAATAACATAATACGGTAATGCTATAATACTAATATAAATATTAGTATTATATATCACATTAATACTATATATAATATTGAATAATATATAGTATTAATTTATATTAATTATATAAAGTAATTTATATTAAGTAATATTGTTATTATATATAACATAATTAATATAATCTAATATATAATAATACTTAATAAAACTATATATATTTAGTAATAGAATAGAATATAATATGGTAATATAATAGTAATATAATATTAATAATACTAATATGTAATATTTTAAAATGATATGGTAATATAACACTAATAATACTAATAGGTAATGTAATATAATAATATGGTAATATAATACCATACAAATATGTCATATAATATAACATGGTAAAATACTAATATGTAAAATAAAATAATAATGCTGTATTATAGTTATATTATTATGGTAATACAATAACAATAATACAGTAATACTATAATACTAATAATAGTATTAGTGTTATATATAATATTGAATAATATATAATATTAATTTATATTAATTATATAAATTTATATTAAGTATTATTATAATTATATATAACATATACACATATTTTATATAATGTTATATATAATAATACTTAATAAACTGTATTTACTAATAGAATAGAATATAATAATGTGGTAATATAATAACATAATAATACGGTAATACTATAATACTAATATTAATATTAGTATTATATATAATATTGAATAATTTATATCAGCATATTTAATTATAATTTATCATTATTGCTATATTACTATATTTATAATTCGTTTAGCACAATTTTGTTATTTATGGGGATAGTTACCCTTTTTCATTTCTACCACACTGGGGCATGCTGAGTAGTGTTCTTCAAATACATGTCTGTATTATGACACCAGACTTGAAAGAAAATGCACTTGCTTGCCTTTCAGAATTATCCAAGATTTGGTACCAATCAGTTCTAGCACCATGCAGGGTTTGGCTTCGCTTGGCTCTCGCTTTCTCAAGATGAGCCAGACACGAAGCTGAAGAAGGATCTGAAGGCACTTTCCTTGGGACACACCATGCTGAGGAACGTCTACCAACTGCGGAAAGCACTTCTCCGATGGACGATCCCCAGATACGATCTGCATCCATCACCTGCTGATGGGTTCTTGCAAAGCATCTCCATCCCACCTGTGCAAAAGACTCTGGTAAATACTGGGACCATTAAGATGTTACGGAAAGAATCTAGAACCTGCCTTCCTGGTTTAGAGAGAGACTTCCATTATTTCGTCCTCAGTTACATCATAGCAAGAACTGGAAGGGACCCCCAAGGTCCAAGAGACCACCTGCATTATATCATTAATATAGGATGGCACCACTTTAGTTGCCATGGAATCCTGGGAGTGGTAGTTTTACAAGGCCTGTAACCTTTTCTGCCAAGGAAGGCTGGTGCCTCATCAAATTAGGATCCCATAAATGGGACCCATAACTAGTTTGGTGACTGGACTGACCTTGAAGGAGCTGGGGGTGGAGACGGCCGACAGGGAGCTCTGGTGTGGGCTGGCCCATGAGCTCACGAAGAGTCGGAAATGACTGAACAAACAACAAACTAGTTTGGCTACCGTATTTTGAACTAATTTTAGTATAAGTGACGTTAGTATAGATGTCATAGGGTCACTCCTAAATATGGCTGCCATTTTGGTAATTTTAGTTTTAGGTATCATATGCTCATTCCTAGATGTACCTGTAAGCAATCTGGCTACCATTTTGGAACTAATTTTAATATATTTTAATTTAATAATAAAATATCTTTTAAATTTAATAATACATTAAGTATTACATTATTATTAATATTAGTAATATTAATAAAGGGGACAATCTTTACCTTTAATTTTATTTGTTTATCATTTATTATTTATTTATTCCTAGAAGTACCTGTAACCAATCTGGCTGCCATTTTGGAACTAATTTTAATATTTTTTAAATTTATTCATAAATTTATTAATTTATGAAATTCTTAATATTATATTAATATTAATATACATAATATAAATAAATTGTTATTTATAAGATTTATTAAAAGGGACAACCTTTACTTTGCCTTTAATTTCATTTATTTATTTATTATTATTATTAGTTATTTATTGTATTGTCGAAGGCTTTCATGGCCGGAATCACTGGGTTGTTGTAGGTTTTTTCGGGCTATATAGCCATGGTCTAGAGGCATTCTCACCTAGAGGAGAGAATGCCTCTAGACCATGGCCATACAGCCCGAAAAAACCTACAAAAACCTAGTTATTTATTATTTATTCCTAGATGTCCTTGTAACCAATCTGGCTGCCATTTTGGAACTAATTTTAAAAAAATCTAATAATAAATTAACGATTAATTTATGAAATTCTTAATATTATATTTATATTAATTATTATAAATAATATAAATAAATATAAATAAATATATTATTATTTATTAATTTATTAAAGGGGATGGTCTTTACCTTACCTTTAATATTATTCCTTTGATGATGGTGCCCATCTGTATATCACGCAGGCCTTGTCCCCCTGCCCCTCGCAGGTCTGTCTCTGTCATTCTGAAAAGCAGAAGGACTATTCCCTCCCGAACTCAAGCTGGAGCCAAGAAATGATGGATCAGTACAATAAGCTCACAGAGATGACGAAAGACGGGACGTGGCAACAGCTGACGTCTTACCGAAATACTTTGGAACACGCTCCAGGCAAGGACAGAAGCTGCAATGTTTTGTTTGTGATTCCCATTCTATCTCCTGCCCCTCAAATTCCATTTTTGACTAGTTTGTAAACCAAAACAAACCTTTTCTTGGGTTTCTCTACCACAGTTTTTCATCACTTGGTAGAGAACTGGGTCCATGTCTCTGATATGGCTGCCTTCTACTGTTCCCACAGAGGAGCTGCTACAGAAATATAACTTGAAGAAGGACAAAAGCACCCGCCTGTTCCTCAGGAACCTCGACGAAGAAGGCAAGGGCTTCGAATACGCCATGTTCCTGAACAAGCAGGAGAAACAACTGGCCGGGATCTTCCAGTTTGGTCCTTATCTCGAGGGACCCCCAGGGTAAGGCTGAAAAGAAACCCAACAGGCTTTGCTGGAGAATCAAAGGGAGATTTTTTCATCACGTAATAGTCGCACCACAAAAAAGGAAAAAATAGACACTGTTATGCAATGAAATGCGATAATATTGTGTGTAGAGATGAGTGATACTCCTAGGAGCTGTCACACTATTACCTGGTGCCACTATAAATGCAATTTCGGCTTCTCAAAGCTGTTGACCCTCTGTATTTGGGGGCGTAGGGCCCTACGAAAATGGCAAAACTGTGACGCTCTTACAGAATCCCAAACTGACTCATTTTACTGGAGAATCAAAGGGAGATTTTTTTCATCACGTAATAGTCGCATCATAAAGAAGGAGAAAATAGAGACTATACAGTAAAAATAGACACTATTATGCAATGAAATGCGGTAATCTTGTGTGTAGAGATGAGTGATACTCCTGGGAGCTGTCACACTATTACTTGGTGCCACTATAAATGCAATTTCGGTTTCTCAAAGCTGTTGACCCTCTATTTGGGAGCATAGGGTCCTACGAAAGTGGCAAAGCTGTGACGATCTTACAGAATCCCAATCAGAATCAACTTGCTGTATTTCATCACATAATAGTGCCTGTTTTTTCTTTTTTTGTGGTGCGACTATTATACGATGAAAAAATCTGCCTTTGATTTTCTGGCAGAGTACCAGAAGCCTCCATTTCATAGTTTGCCTTGCCTTTGGAGGAAGAAGAAACAAAGGGGACGTATTAAGAATGGACAGTTAGGAAACATATTTGGAGATGCATAGAGTCACATCTTTCAATGGTTTCATCTCCCTTTACCATTCCATCCTTCATACTGTTCATCCTGGTTCTTACATCAGCTATTATCCGATTATTATGGATTGATTACATTTAGGAAATGTTTCCTTTTCCAGTTGCGCGCACGGCGGTTCCATCGCCACGGTTCTGGACACTATCCTCGGGGTTTTGGCGATGTCTGTCGCTTGCCGGGTGATGACTGCTAACCTCAGCATTAACTACAAAAGGTAATTATGATTTCCTTGCACCTGAAAATCAAGGCTTGGGGGGGTCAGGATTGGGCCATTCGAAAGGCTAACTAAATGTAAATAAAGTAAGCATCTCTATAGAATGACAGCGTTGGAAGGGACTGCAAATTAGACCTAATCCAACTGTTATGAAAAATAAATCTGAGAAATTCCATACAACCTCTGCTTAACAACAACAACAATAATGTTTATTTATTATTGCTGTGGTCCAGTCTGTGTAGATATGTGTATATATGTGTGTGTTTGCGTATATATGTGTGTGGTTTTGGACATAACGTATTTTTTGTTTTTTGGCTTTCTAAGTCCCTTCTGTTGTGTTTTCCAATATTTCCATTACATTTTTATTTATATTTATTATTATTGTTAATATATGTATATATGTGTGTGTATATATTTGTATATATGTGGTTATGCGCATGTGTTGTAATGTTTTGTGTTTTTTTTGGCTTTTTAAATGTCTTCCACTGTGTTTTCCAGTGCTTTTATGAGTGATGGTCACTCATTGGCTTGATACGTTAATCCCACAAATGAACATTAACATTTTTATTTATTATTATTATTATTATTAATATAGACAACTAGCCATCCCCTGTCACACATTGCTATGGCCCAGTCTGTGTATATGTGTTTTGTATGTATATATGTGTGTATATATATATATTTATATTTGTGTATATATGTGGTTTTGCACATGCGTTGTAATGTATTTTTTTTTTGGTTTTTGGCCTGTTAAGTCCCTTCTGTTGTGTTTTTCAGTGTTTTTATGAGAGACGGTCACTTGTTGACCTGAGGGGTGTCTTTTGTCCAAATTTGGTGTCAATTCGTTCAGTAGTTTTTGAGTTATGTTAATCCCACAAACGAACATTACATTTTTATATTATTATTATTATTAAAATATACAATAGGTTAACAGAACATGAACTGTAATTTTATTATTATTATTATTAAGATAGACAATAGGTTAACAGAACATGAACTGTAATTTTATTATTATTATTATTATTAAGATAGACAATAGGTTAAAAGAACATGAACTGTAATTTTATTATTATTATTATTATTATTATAGACAATTGGTTAACAGAACATGAGCTGTTATAATAGGTTAATTTTATCTTAATTTTATCTTAACCTATTACAATAATAATAATAATAATAAGCAATGTTTCAAATTTATATATTAAAATAAGTTTATTTTGTATTGCATCTTTTTAAAGGGGAGCATAGAATTTAGTTGTGTTTTGTTTTTTCGTTGGCAGGAATGGAGGGGAAAATATTGTGGGCTTATGTTTTTTACTGACCAGCCTTTGTCCCTCTTCCTCCTCCTCCTCCTCCCAGTCCCGTCCCTCTGGGTTCGGTGGTAATGGCAACCAGCAAATTGGACCGAATGGAAGGCAGGAAGGTGTTTGTGAGCGGAGCTTTGCAAAGCACAAACAGGAAGACGCTCCACGCAGAGGCCACAGGTAAAGGTTTTTCCATTAGACATACAACATCTATAGACAGACACAGAGGCAATTTCACATTCCAGTTTTTCCGGCTTCATGAGGGTATGCTAAATTCCGGCCACAGGGGGAGCTGCCGCTTCACCGGCCACTTGTGACACCAAGTCCTTGGTGGAGTACTTCCTCATTCTTCTGCACACTGCTGGAAGGTTTTATGGTGTCGTATTCAACTAATTAATTAGCCTCCCCACATAAAGCGGTGCCTAAATTTCCTACTTGACAGATGCAATTGTCTTTCGGGCTGCATAGGTCAACAGCAAGCTAGACTATTAATGGTCGGGAGCTCACTCCGACCCGGGCTGGCTTCAAACTCATGACCTGTTCCTCATTCTTCTGCACGCTGCTGGAAGGTTTTTATGGTGTCGTATTTAACTAATTAATTAGGCTCCCCACATAAAGCAGTACCTAAATTTCCTACTGTAATGTAATGCAACATAGTACTACTAATAATAATATATTATAATTATATATTTATTTTACATGTAATATTCCCAATAATATTACAATATAATGGTATAGTACAATATAGTAACATTTAATACTGATATTGTGCTATGCTAATAATATAATATATTGTATGTATATGTGTATATATGTGTGTGTGTGTGTGTGTGTATATATATATATATATATATATATATATATATATATATATATACACGCTCTATGAGTCCCCTTCAGGGTGAGAAGGGCGGCATATAAACGCTGTAAATAAATAAATAATAAATGCTTGACCGATGCAACTGTCTTTCAGGCTGCATAGGTCAACAACAAGCTAGACTATTAATGGTCTTACTCATTCTTCTGCACACAGCTGAAAGATTTTATGGTGTCATATTTAACTAATTAGCCTCCCCACATAAAGCGGTACCTAAATTTCCTTCTGTAATGTAATGGAATATAGTACTAATAATAATAATAATAATAATAATAATATAGTTATATATTTAATAATAATACTGATATTGTACTATGCTAATAATATACTCTATTGTATGTATATGTATATATCTTCGGGGTAAATGCCGTAAATAAACAAATAATAAATACTTGACCGATGCAACTGTCTTTCAGGCTGCATAGGCCAACAGCAAGCTAGACTATTACTGGTCGGGAGCTCACTCTTACTCCGGCTGACTTCGAACTCACGACCTCTCAGTCAGTAGTGATTTAACACAGCTGGCTACTAACTAGCTGCGCCACAGCCCGGTCCTGCTTGCAGCAATTCTCCTGTTTTGTAATATATATAAATAAAAACGTAATGTTTGTTTGTGGGATTACAAAATAAACATATTTTAATATGTAAATTTGGAACACTCTCAGCCATTCAAGAGATAAAAGTGGGATACTGCTAATTATTATTATTATTATTGTAATAGGTTAATTTTTCAGGTAAAATTAACCTATTACAACAGCTCAGGTTCTGTTAACCACTTGTCTATTTTAATAACAATAATAATAATTATTATTATTATTATAGAATTACAGGAAGGAAGGAAAGAAAGGTAGAGAAGGAAGGAAGGAGAGAAGGAGGGAGTGAAAGAAGGAAAGAAGGAGGAAAAGAAAGGTAGAGAAAGAAGAAGAAAAGGAGGGAGAGAAAAAGGAGGGAAGGAAAGAAAGAAGGGTAGAGAAGGAAAAGAAGGAGAGAAGGAGGGAGGGAAAGAAGGAGGGAAAGAAAGAAGGGTAGAGAAGGAAGGAGAAAAGGAGGGAAGGAAGGAAAGAAAGAAGGGTAGAAAAGGAAGGAGGGAGTGAAAGAGGGAAAGAAGGAGGAAAAGAAAGAAGGGTAGAGAAGGAGGGAGTGAAAGGAGGGAAATAAAGAAGGGTAGAGAAGGAAGGAGAAAAGGAGGGAGAGAAAAGGGAAAGAAGGAGAGAAGAAAGGAAAAAAAAGAAGGGTAGAGAAGGAAGGAAGGCGAGAAGGAGGGAGTGAAACAGAGAAGGAGAAAAAGGAAGAAAAGGAAGAAGGGTAAAGAAGGAAGGAAGGAGAAAATATAATAATCATCATCATCATCATCATAGTAAGTGATGACAATATTATTTCTGGCCTGCCTCTCCCCACAGTTTGGGTTTCACGGCACAAGATGGTTTGAAATATTGTGTATCGTGTTTTCCTGGCCAAATGACACATTCCCTTTTCTGTCTTCTCTGTTTCTCTTTATTTCTCTCTCACCTCTAACTAGGTCTGCTTATCCAACTGCAGAAGGCTCCTGGGGATGATGGGCCTTCTTTTCTTTGAGTGGATTCCCCTTCCCGAATCTCTCCTGCGTCCTCATTCTTGGTCCAGCAAGAAGTGATGCCTTTCACATAGACACACAGCACTTGACTCCCTGCCCTCTTCCATTCAGTCTTAGTCTGGTGCTGTTTTGATATATAGAGTATCAGTTCACCCTGCGTGCCTTCATATTGTATTTCCAGGCCTTTTCCAAACAAAGATAACCTTTTCGGGTCCGAAAACGGGTACCGGTGCTTCCTTTTCCCTCTTAAGATTTCTTGGGATCGTCTCAGAAATACAGGCCGCTAATGCATATCTGTTTCAATGTGTTGTCGAAGGCTTTCGTGGCCTGAATCACTGGGTTGCTGTAAGTTTTTTGGGCTGTGTGGCCATGTTCAAGAAGCATTCTCTCCTGACGTTTCTCCCCCATCTATGGAAGGCATCCCCAGAGGTTGTGAGGTCTGTTGGGAACTAGGCAAGTGGGGTTTATTATATATCTTTTGGAGCTAGGTGTGAATGTTTCAATTGGCTACCTTGATTAGCATTGAATGGCATTTAATAATTTACAAATAAGCATTTAATAATTTACAAATAAAATGTATTATTATTATGTTTTAAACATTTAAAACATAATAATAACAACAATAACTTTATTATGAAATTATTAATTATTAATTTAATTTAATAATAAAATTATTATTATTCCTAAAAGCCATTAAAAGCTGGAGATGATTATAATCATCTCCAGCTTTTAATGGCTTTTAGGAATAATAATAATTTACAAATAAAATGTATTATTATGTTTTAAATATTTTAAACATTATTATTATTATTATTATTATTATGAGAATATATTTAATTTCTTACCTGGCTTGTTCCGAGGTACCACTCAGCTCAAACAGACACCTCCCAACAAAGAATTCCCCCAGGCAGTAAGAAGCCAGGCCTTGAAACTGCTAGGCCATTAAATGCTAAGCAAGGTGGCCAATTGAAACATTCACACCTACCTCAAACAGACAAGAGTCCTTTCTCCCACCCTGGACATCATTCCACAGATATATAAACCTCATTTTCCTAGTTTTCAACAGGAAAATCTGTCACAATTTCCGCAGATGCCTGCCATAGATGTGGGCAAAACGTCAGGAGAGAATGCTTCTGGAACGTGGCCAGACAGCCCGGAAAACTCACAACAACCCATATCTATTTCCATTTCCTTCACCTGCTTCTGTGAACCGTTTGGACCAAAATAGTATTATCGAATCAGCTTTGGCAATAGATACGTTTAAAAGGTGGACTTCTTATTACAAGGGCACAAAAGGAAGAAACTATAAGTGGATTTTTAAAAAGCCTTTATTTATTTTTCAAAGAGTATTTAAGATGGATAATAAGGAACGATGGGAAGGATTGTCTTCCCTGAAATGACTTTTATTTTATTGGCACGGTCTCGTCCATATGATGCTTTGACTACTGAATGTGTAACTAAAGATTTCCATTCGGCATCTTGAGTTGGATATTATATTTTTTGGATGGAGTGGCATTACTGGAGGTGTTCTGGGCTTCTCTATTAGAGATTATATTTTTGTGTTTAACGACATCGTTGTTAGGGGTTTTCATTCCGTTTGTCCGAATCAGTAACATTCTGGCGAAACAATTAACTCACAATCAAAGTTGGAAAGGTTTAATTCAGAAGCATGCAGTAGCGAATGCGACAAAGTTCCAACTGACAGTTTAGGTCATGACACCATTGTTCAGAATGGGTTTGGGGTCAGACGTTAAAGGGGGTTCTGTGTACCCACTCTCCTTAAATGTTTTCAGTCTGAAAAAGAAATCCTCCTATTCCTGATGTTTACCTAACCCAGTGGTTCCCAACCTGTGCTCCGTGGACCACTAGTGGTCTGCAAGAACTAAAAGATGGTCTGTGGTCTCACCGTTGTAACAAGAGCGACTGTTCTCGCAAAACCCTCTTATAGTGCCAACGCTTATTAAATATGGTTTTCTGCGGGCGAGCAGATGGTGACTACTTGAGTTGGATATTATATTTTTTGGATGGAGTGGCCTTTCTGGAGGTGTTCCAGGCCTCTATATTAGAGATTATATATTTTTTGTTTAATGATGTTGTTGTTGGGGTGTTTCATTCTGTTTGTCTGGATCTGTAACTTTCTGGCGAAACAATTACCTCACAATCAAAGTTGGAAAGATTTAATTCAAAAGCATGCAGTAACGAACGCGACAAAGTTCCAACTGACAGTTTAGGTCATGACACCATTGTTCAGAATGGGTTTGGGGTCAGATGGTAAAGAGGGTTTTAATAATAATAATATAATAATAATAAAACTTTATTTATACCCCGCTACCATCTCCCCAAGGGACTCTGTGCGGCTTACAAGAGGCCGAGCCCACAATACATCAGTAATAAAAGCAATAACAACAGTAATACAAAACAATAAAATAAAACTCATAACAGAAGATAAGCAATAAACATTAACAGTAACACAATGACGTTTAGAACCTATGGCTGCGCCAAATGTAATAATTAAATTTTTTAATAATAATGCTGAGCATGAACAGGTGAGATATGACTAGGATAGAGTTTTCGGAGAGGGATGGGTCGTGCTCCCACTCACCTTAAATCAGCGTTTGGGGTTCCCACTCACCTTAAATCAGCATTTCTCAACCTGGGGGTTGGGACCCCTGGGGGGGGGTCACAACGGGGTATCAGAGGGGTCACCAAGACCATCAAAAATACATTATTTTCTATTGGTCATGGGGGTTCTGTGTGGGAAGTTTGGCTGAATTCTATCGTTGGTGGGGTTCAGAATGCTCTTTAATTTCAGTTGAACTATAAATCCCAGCAACTACAACTCCCATATGTCAAGGTATATTTTCCCCAAACTCCACCAGTGTTCACATTTTGGCCTAATGAATATTTGTGCCAAGTTTAGTCCAGATCCATCATTGTTTGAATCCACAGTGCTCTCTGGATGTAGGTGAACTACAACTCCCAAATTCAAGTCAATGCCCACTAAATTCTTCCAATACATTCTGTTCATTATTGGGGTTTTGTGTGGGAAGTTTGGTTCAATTCCATCGTTGGTGGAGTTCCGAATGCTCTTTGATTGCAGTTGAACTATAAATCCCAGCAACTACAACTCCCAAATGTCAAGGTCTATTTTCCCGAAACTCCCACCACTGTTCACATTTGGGCATATTGAGTATTTGTCCTAAGTTTGGTCCAGATCCATCATGGTTTGAGTCCACGGTGCTCTCTGGAGTTAGGTAAACTACAACTCCCAAACTCTAGATCAATGCCCACCAAACCCTTCCAGTATTTTCTGTTGGTTGTGGGAGTTCTGTGAGCCAAGTTTGGTTCAATTCCATCGTTGGTGGAGTTTCAGAATACTCTTGGATTGTAGGTGAACTATAAATCCCAGCAACTACAACTCCCAAATGTCAAGGTCTATTTTCCCCAAACTCCCACCAGTGGAAAGTGTGGTTCAATTCCATCGTTGGTGGAGTTCGGAATGCTCTTGGGTTGTAGGTGAACTATAAATCCCAGCAACTACAACTCCCAAATGTCAAGGTCTATTTTCCCCAAACTCCCACCAGTGGAAAATTTGGTTCAATTCCATCATTGGTGGAGTTCAGAATGCTCTTGGATTGTAGGCGAACTATAAATCCCAGCAACTAACTTCCAAATGTCAAGGTCTATTTTCCCCAAACTCCCACCAGGGAAAAGTTTGGTTCAATTCCATCGTTGGTGGAGTTCGGAATGCTCTTGGATTGTAGATGAACTATAAATCCCAGCAACTACAACTCCCAAATGACAAAATCAACCCCACCAGTATTCCAATTTGAGTGTATTGGATATTTGGGCCAAATTTGGTCCAATGAATGAATATTTACATGACGATTCATAACAGGAGCAAAAGAACAGTCATGAAGTAGCGCATTTCTTTTTTGGGTGTGCTTTGCAAAATACGGCAATGCTCGCCTATGATCCTGCAGCAAGGAGTTCCTCAGCCCCAAAGGATACGCAGCGGAGGAATGCTTCCAAGCCGCAAATGCCAAAACACAAGGGGCCGGAGTTTGTTTTCTGGTGCCAGGCGCGGTCCTGCCACACACACGCAGGGAGCAAAACAGAAACTGACCTACATTTGTTGTCTTCGTGGCATGACGGAGAACAAAGGCGCTCGCTAAGCCCCTTTGCATTCCCCGCGGCTTCCAAGAAAGGTCAGCTTTTTCCAACCTGCGACATTTCTTTTTCCATGAATGGAGCGAGCCTTTGCTGGACTCGAAAGGCGACACCAATTTAGTCCTTTGAGTTGAGAAAGGAAAAGAAACCCACCTTTATTTATTTCTTCCTCATTCCATCTTTTTTTTCCTGAAACTATATGGTGTTGATGCCATCCTCCTCTATCCAAAGCCATGAGTAAACCACCTTTCTTGCAACAGATCCCCTAATAGATTGGGGGATTTGTAGTCTGAAAAGTATGACTCTCCAGCCATCGGCTTGGTCATGAACAGGCGTGTTCAGTACATGGCATCGTGGTGCGCATGTGTGGGCAAGGGAGAGCATGCAAGGCAGGAGGGAGGCTCACGCCAGCAGGTCCCTTCTGTGTGGGAAGTTTGGCTAATTCTATCGTTTGGGTTCAAAACACTCTGGTTGTAAGTGAACTATACATCCCAACAAATACAACTCCCAAATGTCAAGGTCTGTTTCCCCCAAACTCCGCCAGTGTTCACATTTGGGGATATTGAGTATACATGCCAAGTTTAGTCCAGATCTATAATTGTGCTCTCTGATTTGTAGGTGAACTACAAATCCAAAACTCAAGGTCATGGGAGCTCTATGTGCCAAGTTTGGTTCAATTCCATCATTGGTGGAGTTCAGAATGCTCTTTGGTTGTAGATGAACTATAAGTCACGGTCTATTATTTCCAAACTCCACCAATGTTCACATTTGGACATATGGAATATTCATGCCAAGTTTGGTCCAGATCTATCATTGTGCTCTCTGGATGTAGTTGAACTACAACTCCAAAACTCAAGGCCAGTGTCCTCCAACCCCTCCAGTATTTTCTGTTGGTCATGGGAGCTTTATATGCCAACTTTGGTTCAATTCCATCATTGGTGGAGTTCAGAATGCTCTTTGATTGTAGATGAACTATAAGTCAAGGTCTATTTTTCCCAAACTCCACCAGTGTTCGTATTTGGGCATATTGAGTATACATGCCAAGTTTGGTCAAGATCTATCGTTGTGCTCTCTGGATGTAGATGAACTACAACTCCAAAACTCAAGGTCAATGCTCACCAGTATTTTCTCTTGGTCGTGGGAGTTCTGTGTGCCAACTTTGGTTCAATTCCATCGTTGGTAGAGTTCAGAATGCTCTTTGTAGGTGAACTATAAGTCCCAGCAACTACAACTCCTAAATGTCAAGGTCTATTTTCCCCAAACTCCACCAGTGTTCACATTTTGGGCATGTGGAATATTCATGCCAAGTTTGGTCCAGATCTATCATTGTTTGGTCCAAGGCCAATGCCCACCAACCCCTCCAGTATTTTCTGTTGGCCATGGGAATTCTGTGTGCCAGATTTGGTTCAATTCCATCGTTGGTGGGGTTCAGAATGCTCTTTGGTTGTAGGTGAACTATAAATCCCAGCAACTACAACTCCCAAATGTCAAGTTCTGTTTTCCCCACCCTCCACCAGTGCTCACATTTGGACATATGGAATATTCATGCCAAGTTTGAGTCAACAGTGCTCTCTGAATGTAGATGAACGACAACTCCCAAACTCAAGGTCAGTGCCCACCAAACCATTCCAGTAAGGGGGATTTGTAGTCTGAAAAGTATGACTCTCCATCCATCAGCTTGGTGATGAGCAGGTGTGTTCGGCACAAGGCAGTGTGGTGTGCATGTGCAGGGCAAGGGAGAACATGCTGTTGGTCATGCAAGTTCTGTGTGTCAAGTTTGGTTCAAGTGTTCACATTTTGGCATATGGAATATTCGTGCTAAGTTTGGTCCAGTTCTATCATAGTGCTCTCTGGATGTAGGTGAACTACAACTCCAAAACTCATGGCCAATGCCCACCAAACCCAGTATTTTCTGTTGGTCATGGGAGTTCTGTGTGTCAAGTTTGGTTCAATTCCATCGTTGGTGGAGTTCAGAATGCTCTTTGGTTGTAAGTGTTGTAAGTGAACTATAAATCCCAGCAACTACAACTCCCAAATGACAAAATCAACCCCACCAGTATTCACATTTGGGCGTATCGGGTATTTGTGCCAAATTTGGTCCAGTGAATCAAAATACGTCTTCCATATCCAATATTTACATGACGATTCGTAACAGTTGTGAAGTCGCAACGAAAATAACGTTATGGTTGGGGGGTCACCACAACATGAGGAACTGTATGAAGGAGTTGTGGTATTAGGAAGGTTGAGAAACACTTGTGTTAGTTTAATAAATAGACTTAAGCAAAGGGTTGCTTTCTCGACCCAAACGGGGAGCGCTATTTGCCCAACGTGCATCCTCAGCCACAACTTCTACCCATCTTCTACCACAACTTCTACCCATCTTCTTCCAAGTTTGCCCAAAACCGAGAGAGATCACGAAGCACGTTGGACCGGAGAGGCGAGTCGCTTAACCGTGGCCCTGTGAACATTGTGCAAAACCATGTCGAGGAAGAGATTTAGTGTTTGCAAACATTAGACGTGGCTGAGAAGAATGGGCCCTTTGTATTCGACGAAAAAGCCAAAGTTGGGGCAGAGGGCCAGAGGCACACAATGGCAGGAGTGAGCTGTCAGCCTGACGCGCAGAAAGGAATCAAAACAGGTAGCGAAGCTGCCCAGAATAGCCGCGCCGTCCCCTGGGCTGAACGCATTTGCCCTTTTCTCTGTGGCGAGATATTTTATCCCTCCTTCCCCACCCACCCGATGGACTTTTTGCTCCGTTCTTCTGGCTTTTGGTCATTGTTTTTCTACTCTCTGGAGCTACTGAGTCATGCCAAGGAATGACGTCTGAATGAGACCCAGAGTATAAACGGCAGGAGCAAAACCTCGAGCAGGTGCTTTTCTGAAGCACCGAAGGAAGAGAATAAAAGGGGGATGCGACTGCAGCGGAGAGCAAGGATGGAGCCCGAACGGCAGATATTTTGTACCGAATTCTAAAGAGTGGCTTGGATTAAATGTGTGCTTTTCAACTTCCGAGAGATCTCCAAACGGCAGGTATTTTGTGCCGAATTTATTCTTTTCTTTTCGACTCCTGAGCAAACTCCAAACTGCAGGTATTTTGTGCCGAATTGATTCTTTTCTTTCCGACTCCCGAGATTACTCCGAAGTCAGATATTTTGTGCCGAATTGAGTCTTTTCTTTCCGACTCCTGAGAGAACTCCGAAAGTCAGGTATTTTGTGCCGAATTGATTCATTTCTTTCCGACTCCCGAGAGAACTCCGAAAGTCAGGTATTTTGTGCTGAATTGAGTCTTTTCTTTCTGACTCCCGAGAGAACTCTGAAAGTCAGGTATTTTGTGCCGAATTGATTCTTTTCTTTTCGACTCCCGAGAGAATTCCAAACGGCAGGTATTTTGTGCTGAATTGATTCTTTTTGACTCCCGAGAGAACTCCGAAAGTCAGGTATTTTGTGCCGAATTGATTCTTTTCTTTTCGACTCACGAGAGAACTCCGAACGGCTGGTATTTTGTGCCAAATTGATTCTTTTCGACTCCCGAGCTAACTCGAGTGGCCCTTCACAGCAGGAAAATTGAACTTTCTTGAAACTTGCTTGGGAGGGTAAAAAGAAAAACTGAGAAATTATGAAAACTTTGACTTTGCAAAGAGAATGGAGCAATTCCTTTCTCATTTCTATTTCTTTTCATTCCCCTTTGGGTCATCTCAAAAGGCCCCAGCCTTGATCGCTTGCAGTTCCGAGGATCGATCTCTCTAAAGGCGTTGACCTTTCCCACCTTTGTCCGTCTGCTCATCGCCTGAAATGTTCCCCTGGAAGAAACCCTCCAAACGCCAACCGGTGGCCTGCCCCAATATCATCACGCCAGACAGAATCCCCCCGTTCTTGATCCCGCCCAACCTGGCTTCCATTCAAGACCGGCGTATGTGCAGGAATCAAGCCCACGAAGAGGTTGCCCAGGGGGACAGCGAAGAGAAAGCGGACCTCCAGACCAATGGACCTCTCCAAGATGCCTCCTCCATGCCTCAGCTCCCCGGCCTCCCTCTCCTTCCGGAGAGTCCGCACACTCGCCGCCGAGAGTCCCTTTTCCACAGCGGACAGACGCCCCATCGGAGCCACTTCACCCGTATCACAACTCCGCAACGGAAGACCCATTTGGCCCCGGAGAGTGACACGGCCTCCTCCACGGAGACTTCCCCCTATAGCTCCCCGCTACTAATGCGTTCCTTGGGTGCGCTCCCGTTGTGCCGTGGCTACCGCCGGAGGTGTGGAAGCCGTTCAACCATTGCGGGCACGACTTCTCGGCCGAGTTCTTTGTCCACAGAGGAGACCAGTTCCACAGATACGAGCCCCAGCTTCCCCCGCCGAGAAACAGAGCCTCCCTGGGGTCACTTCACCTCTACGTCCTTCTTCCCGCTGGACTGGGTCCGCTGCCGCGAGAGGCTCACCAAGGAGGTGATGCTAACGGTGAGCAAAGGAGGGCGAGTGAGGCTCTCCAGCGAGTATCTTCAACCCCAAGGGAGACTCCGTATCCGGTTAGTGAGTGCCGAGGCCTTCTACCCATCCCATTGCGACCCGAGGCACATTCACTGTTGCGTCTCTCTCCGGTTACGCCCCGGGGCCAGGCAGAGGCAACGCAGCGCTGTGGTGAAGCGGAGCCGGGACCCCATCTTCAACGAGGACTTTTTCTTTGAAGGTCTCTTGGTCGACGATCTTCCCCGGCTGAGCCTCAGGCTCAAGGTGCTGAACAAGGGCTCCGGGATGCGGAGGGACGCCGTGTTGGGCCAGTGCGACATTCCGCTCGATTCGCTCTTACCCTGAAAGGCCTGGACGAAGGGAAAGAAGGCATGCTGATCAAATCTGCTACTGTGAGGACGTTTTGGAGCTATTGACTGGCCGAACCTGAAAGGTGCTTCCCAATGGATCCTCTTTCTTCACCCTGGAGAGAAGAAAGAGTCCTATCCTGGGTCCAGTGCTATTCAACATCTTTACCGATGACTTGGACAACACAATAGAAGACATGCTTATCAAATTGGCAGGTGATGCCAAATGGGAAGAGATGGATAATAACAGATTAGACCTGGGCCAAAACAAATCAAATTGAATGTAAGGTATTACACTTAAGCAATGTACAGGTATAGGATCGGAGGCACCTGGCTGGAAAACAGTCCATGGGAAAGGGATCTAGGAGTCTTAGCAGACCACAAGCTGAACAGGAGCCAATGGTGTGATGTGACAGCTGACAAAGCCAATACAATTCTTGGCTGCATCAGTAGAAGTCTAGTATCTAAACTGAAGGAAGTTATGGTCCAACACTATACTTCTTTGGTCAGGTCTCACCTGGAAACCATGAACCCCTTTGAGGAGCAGCTTAGGAACCTAAGGATGTTTAACTGAGAGGTGACATATTAGTCACATTTAAGTTTCTGAAAGGTTATCCATTGATGAGGGAGTCAACTTGTTTTCTGATGCTCCAGAGACAAGGATCCCAAGCTGCAAGGAAAGATATCCCACCTAAACATTAGGAAGAACTTCCTGATGGTGGGAGATGTTTGACAATGGATTGTGCTGCTGCCTTGGAATCTGGCAGAGCCTTGTCTTCTTGAAGTTTTGAAACAGAGGCAGCATGGACATCTGTTGGGAGAGCTTGGATTGTATCATCCTGCACAGCACAGAGACCCCCTCAAGGTGCACTTCATGTCCTGGTGGACTTTGGGGGAGGATGGACCAGAGATGATGGGATACGCAGTACTTTTACCTGCTTTGGACTTAAAATGATCATTATGACTCCCACGAATGACGGACCTGGATCAACTTTGGACTGGATGGACTTTGGGGGTGTTTTCCAACTCTAGGGAGGATGGAGTACGCAGTACTTTTACCTGCTTTGGATTAAACGACCATGACGACCCCCACGAATGATGGACCTGGATCAACTTTGGACTGGATGGACTTTGGGGGTGTTTTCCAACTCTAGGGAGGATGGACCATGGATGATGGAATATGCAGTTCTTTTACCTGTTTTGGATTCAACTTCAAACGACCATGGCGACCCCCACAAATGACGGACCTGGATCAACTTTGGACTGGATGGACTTTTCTAACTTTTCTGGACTTTTCTGGACTGGGGGTGTTTTCTAACTTTAGGGATGATGGACCACGGATGATAGAATATGCAGTACTTTTACCTGCTTTGGATCGGACTTCAAATGGCCATTATGACCCCCACGAATGATGGACCTGGATCAACTTTGGACTGGATGGACTTTGGGGGTGTTTTCCAACTCTAGGGATGATGGACCATGGATGATAGAATACGCAGTACTTTTACCTGCTTTGGATCAGACTTCAAATGACCATGACAACCCCCGCAAATGACGGACCTGGGTCAACTTTGGACTGGGTGGACATTGGGGGTGTTTTCCAACTCTAGGGATGATGGACCATGGATGATGGAATACGCAGTACTTTTACCTGCTTTGGATCGGACTTCAAATGACCATTATGACCCCCACGAATGATGGACCTGGAACAACTTTAGACTGGATGGACTTTGGGGGTGTTTTCCAACTCTAGAATTCTATGGAAGGCTCTGATGTCATCTCCATAGAGGTGGAGCTGCAGGACGCGTTTTGTGTGTTGGGCCCTATTGTCGTCACTAAAAGTTGTCCTTATTTTTTAACCCCATTGACCCACAATTGAAAGAATGTGGAGTCTTGAATGATCCCTGAAAGCCAAGAATAACCAGCGCCTTCCTTATTTTTGGTCCATGTGCTGAACCACTTTTTACCACCAGAGGAAGCTGTTGGCTGACGTTCTGCTGATCTTGGTTGCCACCAATTCCACAGAACATTATTAAGTGCCCGTACAAAAGGATTTTTCAACTATCCTCAAATGACTCAATGGGGTGGGGTTCATGTGATGCTTTAATACCCCAAACTATGACTTGAATGGCTCTTTTGTATCACCATAGAACTCCCAATAATGCACTAATAAAATGCATACCTCACACAACGTGGTCTCCATCTCTCTTTCTTCCAGCAAATTCGTGAGGGTGAGTACCAGTATCTATGGAAGGACAGGATAGATGAATGGATGATCTATGGAGGGATGGATAGAAAGGACAAAAAGGAGGGAATGGGAGGGATAAGTAGATCGCTAGATAAATAGATATTAGTAAACTTAATTCTGATTGAGATGGGGCAGATGGATGGATTGATGGATATGGTTATTGAGGGATGAATGAAGCTAGAGCAGGCATGGGCTAACTTTCTAACTTGGGGGCACTCCCTGCCTGGTGATGGATGGATGGAAGGAAACAAGGAAGGAAGGACGAAAGAGAGGGATGGAAGGAGAAAGAGAGAGGGAAGGAGGGAGAAAAGGTGAAAGGGAAGGATGGGCAGAGAAGGGGAGGGAGGGAGGGAGGGAGGGAGGGAGGGAGGGAGGGAAGGAAGGAAGGAAGGAAGGAAGGAAGGAAGGAAGGAAGGAAGGAAGGAAGTGAGGTGAAAGGGAGGTGAGGGAAGGAGGAAGGAACGAAAGAATGAAAGACAAGGGAAAGCAGGAAGAAAAAGGTGGAAGGGGATGGAGGGAGGAAAGACAAAGGGGAAGGAAGGAAGGAGAAAGGGAGGGATGAAAGGGTGGAAGAGAGGGATGGAAGGAGAAAGGAAGTTGAGGGAAGGAGGAAGGAAGGAAAGAATGAAAGATAAAAGGGCAAGAAGGAAAAAAGGGTGGAAGTGCAAAGGATGATAGAATAGATGAGTGGAGAAATTGATACATAAATAAGTACCTGGATGGATGGATGGATGGATGGATAGATAGATAGATAGATAGATAGATAGATAGATAGATAGATAGATAGATAGATAGATAGATAGATCAGATAAATGGTCAGATAAATGAAGCCAGAGTAAATAGATTGGAAGGAAGGACAGAGAGAGGGATGATAGAATAGTTGAGTGGAGGGATGGATACATAAATAAGTATCTGGGCGGATGGATGGACGGACTGACAGACAGACAGACAGACAGACAGATAGACAGACAGACAGACAGACAGACAGACAGACAGACAGACAATGATTCCTGGGCTGGTAAATGGAGCTAGACTGAATAGATTGGAAGGAAGGACAGAGAGAGGAATGATAGAATAATTGAGTGAAGGAATTGGATACATAAATAGGTAGATGGATAGATTAGATAGATAGATAGATAGATAGATAGATAGATAGATAGGGATAGAATTCCTAGGCAGATAAATGGAGCTAGATAGACTGAATAAGTTGGAAGGAAGGACAGAGAGAGGGATGATAGAATAGATGAGTGGATGAATGGATACACAGGTATCTGGATGGATGGATGGACGGGCAGATAGGAGAAAGGGAATGAGATAGATCAGTGGATGAATAGGTAGCTAAGTAAATAGACAGCAACCTGTTTTCTAATCCTATGGCCTGATTCTTTGACGTCATTCTTCCTCCTCCATTGTTGTCATGACATTTAGTCTCTTGTCCCTTTTTCGCATCCCTCTGGCTTTCCTCCTCCTTCTCCAAAGCCATTAAAAAACCTTGATGACTGTGCAACGGAAAACCCTAGAATCAATATTGAAGCAGAGCGCTATTAAACCATCTGTCCAAACCAAGTCTTGTTTTCCTTTTGTTGGGGTCAGGGGTGTATTCTTCGGCTGGGAAGAGAAACGAGGAAACTGGGTGCCAGTTAGATGTTTTGAAACCGCAGAATGTGGGCAAGCAAGTTCTCAAAAAGCAAAGGGCGCCTGTGATTGATGAAAAATACACTCCGACATTATTATTAACAAGCTAAAACATTGTCAAAGTAGTTGGCCAATGGACCCAATTGCCTTGAGAGGTGTTAGGGTCTTTAACTAGGTGCCTTCATCAAAAGTCTGGACAACCATTTGCTTTGGATGTTTACGGTGGAGATCCTGCATTGAGACTAGATGGCCTCGAGGGACCACTTTCTCTATATCATAATCCCGCCTCTATAATTATATAGTAATACAACAATTCTGCCCCCGTAATTCTAGACACATAATAAAAGTGGAAATATGTATGTGTGCGTGTGGCTAGGGTGTCCATTTACACAGGCTCCTGGTGTTGGTCGTTCTCCTTGCTATCTTGTGTCAAGAGCTTGAGTTCATCTAATTTATTTCTCCATCTACTGTGATCAGGCATGTAGCCGGGGGGGGGGGGGGGGCTTGAGGGGCTTCAGTCCCTCCCCCCCCCCCTCAAATTCTCATAGTGGTTCGCGAAAAGGCCTTACTGGTGCATTATTTAAACTGTTATGTTTATTCATATAATGATCTGATCACCATGCTCAATATATCCCATATGCATGGGGGTATTGGGGTAATGATACAAAAGATTTGCTAGGGTAGACCCTTTTTCACTCAGACTCAGCCCCCCCCCCCGAAACAAACTCACCCCCCCCCCAAATCGAAATCCTGGCTGCAGGCCTGACTGTGATTAAATGCATATGCGAGCCTGCCTCTTGGCAACTAATGGACGACCCTGGAGGAGGATGGAGGATCTCCTATCCAGGTGCCGACCAGAACTGACCCTGCTTAACTCCCAAGTACAGACAAGAACAAGTGACTTTGGTATATATATACCTGTATTGGGTGTTGGTTGCCCTCCTTACTGTCCAGCGTCAAGAGTTTGAGTTCATCTCATTTATTTCCCCATCTACTGTGCTTCAATGCATATGCGACCCTGCCTCTTGGTGAGTAATGGGGGACCCTGTGGACTTGATGGGATTGTCTTAGACCAGGATCTCCTATCCAGGTGCCAACCAGAACTGACCCTGCTTAGCTCCCAAGTTCAGACAAGAACAAGTGACTTTGGGATATGTATGTATGTATGTATGTATGTATATTTATACACACACACACACACACACACACACACACATGTATTGGGTGGTGGTCGCTCTCCTTGCCGTCCTGTGTCAAGAGCTTGAGATCATCTCATTTATTTCCCCATCCTCTGTGCCTTAATGCCTATGTGAGCCTGCCTCGTGGCGACTAATGGGGGACCCTGTAGACTTATTGGGGTTGTCTTAGACCAGGATCTCCTATCCAGGTTCCGACCAGGGCTGACCCTGCTTAGCTCCCAAGTTCAGACAAGAACAAGTGACTTTGGGATATATATGTATGTATGTATATGCGCGCACACACGCACACACACATGTATTGGGTGTTGGTCGCTCTCCTTGCTATCCTGTGTCAAAAGCTTGAGTTCATCTCATTTATTTCCCCATCTACTGTGCTTTAATGCGTATGCAACCCTGTCTCTTGGCGACTAATGGAGGACCCTGTGGACTTGATGAGGTTGTCTTAGACCAGGATCTCTTATCCAGGTGCCGACAAGAGCTGACCCTGCTTAGCTCCCAAGTTCGGACAAGGATTGATCAGCAACCAAGAGGTTTGGGGAGAATTCATCATAATTTATAGGAGTTGTATATACTGGGATGCATAGTTCACCTGCAATCTAAGAACTGCACTCTGAACTCCACCAATGATAGACCTGGAACTCAACTGGCACACAAAACTCCCATGATGAACAACAAATACTGCCGGTCTGTGGATGGATTTAGAGGAGTTGTAGTTCACCTATATCCAGAGCGCACTATGAACCCAAACAATGATGGATCTGGACCAAACTTGGCACACATACCCAATATGCCCACATTTGAATACTGGTGGGTTTTGAGGGGAATTGGCCTGGGCATTTTGGAATTGTAGGTATTGGGATTTATAGTTCACCTTGCAATCAAGGAGCACTCTGAACTCCACCAAAGATGGATCTGGACTAACCTTGGCACGCATACCCAATATGCCCAAATTGG